ATCTATGATATTAATATGACTGCAAGCATTATTGATTCCAAAGAAACTATTTTAAATTACGTAATCCTAAACTTCTTATTATTATGTGTAACATATTTGGAAAACATAAAATTACAAATTAAATAATTGTAAACAAGTTTGTTAATTAATAAAAAATCATAATAGTTGACTACATATGTTGTCTTTTATACATCAATTGTCTATTTTTACCAACCTTCATGAAAAGTTCCAATCGTGCTTAATTTTGTGGATTAGCCTCAATATCTCAGTTATCATCCTTATTTTATTATTCATTATACTCTTTTATTTACACATAAGCTTTTTTATAGTGTAAACTACTATAATTATATTTAATTAATTTTGGAATTTAGAGTTAATTCAGTTTCAATTAAAACTTAATTAAAATTTAATAACGTGTAAATGGAAATCAAATTATTCGAAGACAAACAAAGGCAAACATTCGACAAAGGAGCGATTCCGATCACACCGCAGTCAAATTTCGAAAACAAATGACGGACTGAAATAAGTCTAATTATAATTGCATGGTGGAAAATCTAATTAATATAATGGAATGCATTCATGTACTAAAACTGTTTGAGATTTGTGTAGTTGCGGAGTAGGATTTAATATACCATTGGTTCCCATAAAGCGATTCATTGCGAGCGCGTTAAGATTAGTGGAATCAAAGCAGTGTATTTAATGGCAATCCGAGACGCAGTGGCGTAACGTAACGAGGGGTTGAAACAATTTCTGAAATAACGATCTGATTTAGAGCTTCCACTTGCAGCTACCACTGACGCCCAAGAAAGTTATTGCCGTGTTTCCGGTATCGGCCTCTGCCGCCGGTGCTGCCACCCTCTTCATCCCACGGTTTTCCTCCCTGCAGGCACCAACCGGAAACGAGTATTGATACACACTAACAGCGTTCGATTCCTAACTTCATAACCCGGCAGGAAGCTATAATTAATAGAAACCGAATTTCCACCCGGCCGCACACAATGAGCGTTTTAATCATGAACAACAATGCCCAAATTCCTAATAATAACAATAATAAAGCTCAGCGAAGCCTAATTTCGGATGTTTACCTTTGACATGTGGATGTGAGCGCTCGTGTGCTAGAGACCGTGATCAAATTAAATGTAGATGTAAGCAACCTAAACACCAGCAGGTTTTTGTTTATGAATATAATATACTTCCTTTCTTTATGCAAACAGGATCGATCTTAAGTGTACAGAACTTCGCTATCATTAGAATCAACAATTATGCAGATTATTCAATGTTGTTTATTCAAGCAACGATGTATACGATATTATCTAACAGTTTAATAAGAAACTCTTTACCAAATATATACACTTTCAATCTCTATGTTTTGGTAATTACTACTACAAATTGTCTATTCATCAAGAGGTGAATTAATATGAAGTTGAATTGAAAATATTCTTCACGCCTATGAAGTGAACTACTATTAAGTATAACTGAATCCAATTCCATTAAACTGAATTACTGTTGTACAATATACAATTATGTAAACCATCTATACATATCATTCCATACTACTAATAGACATTTATGTTTCATTTGTATGAATTTGTATATATTCTTACACAATTTATATGTTTTTGTATATATCTATATATAATATAGATGAGATACTAATGTTAATAAACGCTATGAATTACTATTAAATTATTCCCATTATAAAATTGTATAACCATTTATGGAACCAAATTGAAAATGTAATAAATAAATACACAGATTATTCTTTTTATTGTTTAAATTACAGTTTTTGTCACTCATAGAACCATTTCAATTCATTTGAATATTCTGGAAAAAGAATTGCTTGGCGGACGTCTGATCGTAGATGCAAATTGAATATCTTACTTTTCAGCATAACCAATATGTTTGTCTATGAATCACTCTGTTCAGAGGAATTGTAAAACATTTGCAGTAAATGTCTCCAAGTATAGTCTTGGTCATATCATAGCTAACCAAAATTAATTACATACATACTTCTGTTGTCGGCACTGATCATACCTTCGAGTTTAAATCGATGTCGTCAGTTTCACTTTCGCTAGTTCCCAATAACTTGTCACACCAATCAAGGGTCTGAATAGCTATAAATTCGTCATCTTCAAATACAAATAGGTTGTTGTTGATACTTTTGTTGACCTCTTGTTTTATCTTTATAATAAAGAGCCTGTCGAGCAGTTTGTCAGCTTCCTGCAAATGGCCCTAACCCGTTTTTCCTCTCAGATATTCAATCTATTGTTCTCTTCTTTCGCCTTTTGGAATTATGCCTTAATAGCTTAAAAATCCGCATCATCCCCATGATCATTCGACTCACATTCACTTTCACATTATTTTTCATAACAAATTTCAATATCATTCTCGTAGTACAAAATATCATCTTCGTCGTCAAAATAGATATCGGTTTATTTAAAAGAATCTTTTGAGATAAAACGAATAATAATTACTTAATTAATGTTAAAATCAAATATATATTACTTGAGATATAGTCTTCTCCCTTTTTAATAACACATAAGACCAAACACGCTTTTACAGACATGTACCTGAAGAAGAGTAGAAAGTATATACCTTTTATATGCATTATACATATTTCTTAACGCTAAATTAAATTTGTTTGAAGGTTTATCTAAGTTAACGATCTAAGAATTTGAGATTTCATTAATTAAGCGAACTAAAATTAATGAACTTCACATCTCATTAGATGCTCGCTGAATAATCAATAGCAAGAACAAAGAAAATTATAAAACAGCATCAAAAGTTTATGTTTACTTAAATTTTGTCAACTTGATATATATATATATAGAATTTTCTGTATATAATCATTTGTTGTGATAAATCCTAAAATTTTAGAAAATCGTCCAACTTTTTCAAATCAAGTACAGTAATCTATGTATTATTATCATAGTTAAAATTCAGAATAAAAAAAACACTACTTGCGATTAGAGAATAAGCAAGTATTTTTTGTATTGAAACTTCTGGTATAAAAAGCAAATAACACCTAAAATATTTAAAGAATTCTATAATATATATTGCTAACAGAATTATTAATCGTTATAAAATTTTCAATTGAATTATAAATTAATAATAATTACTAATATTTTTTATTTTTTTTTTGTATATATTTTAAAAAAATTACAACCTGCCAACATTCTTAGCAATAAGTAGAATATTTTTTGGCAATAGACAGAAAAAAAAAGAAAACAAAAACAGAACGATTTCCAATCGGAAATCTTCATATAAACAAGTATAAATTTAACTAAAAAAATATATATATTTATTTTTGGCGGAAAGACCTCGGTCGTTAGCCCTTTGGCCAGCCTTTTAATATATATTTTTTTATTGTATGTTAAAATTTATTTATGTATAAATTGTACTTTTTTTTCTTCTTCTTATATATTGATGTTTGGCCAATAAATTATTATTATTAATTATTTTTTAAACTATTTTAGTTTCACATTTAATAAGTTAAGTTTTTAAGTTTGCATATTTTTTATGTACATTTAATTTTGAATGATGTAAAATAAATATTAAATGTCTCAATTTGTCTTAAACGAAATAATTTATGATGTAAAAGCAATAATTGTATGTTAATAAAAAAATTATTTTTTAATATAACTCTGGTAATTATTTTTAACTATTTTTTATTCTATTCTATAGAAGACCAAATATTTCTCTTGATATTTTTATTTTGTTTATTCCTGCTATTTTGTATGTGATATTGCAATGTCCTTTTACGCAGAACACAAAAAAGTATCGTGTAGATTCACTTATTTATGTAGATAGACGAAATAAAAATATACAACTGGTCCTGTTAAATTGCGAAACGAGCAGGTGTTTGTTTGCATGGAATGCGAGCAATTTAAAATTGCTCCGCTCTTTCCGCAAATGGCCAATAATTTAATTGTCCGATCACGAAACGTGCACCCGATACATTTGAATATTGGCCCCATCCGTTTCTTCCCTCGAATTTGAATTTCCGAAATGCCCAGATTAGGTCGTTCCCGTCGAGTTATGTAACGGGCCGCGGAGGTGGTGCTATTAATAACGCCGATGATATAGAATTTAATAACACGGCACATAATTCCGATGGTGTAGTGTAAAGGGCAAAGTTATACGCGCGGAACGATAGTAAATTCTATTAAATGTATAATTTGTGGATAACAATGGCAGTCATATGAGCCGCAGCTTGAGCCTCCTCTGGTGGGAGTTGGTTGATGGTGAGTTTGCTGCGGGGAAGTTTGGTGAGAGCCTCGTCGTGGCGTAACTGAAATATTCGCCAACCCGTCGTGTTGTTATGTAATATCGAGCGGAGGCTCAAGTCGTGGCGCTTCTATCGTCGTGGGAGAAGATCCAGAGAACAAATAGGCAAATTGGATATGTGATGAACATTTGTAGGCAGGGCGCAGCACGACCAAACACGCTTTGAAGTCAACCACTCGGCTGGAAGTTTGACCACTATGGGTTCCCCCCGTTGCGACGTTTCGTACAAATACAAATACTATACGGCAAACATTACACAGTTAGTTAAACTGTTACCAATGTCACGTTCAATTGAAATTTTCTACTCAATGTCCATTCAAATGCACGCTAACGAGTATTTCGTTTTACTTTTCACGTCCATTCGCAACATCTAATAATTAGTCTATGGCCCAAAACATTCCAACTGTTTGATGCTAAAATCTATACTCTATTTTAGTCGTCTGTAAAAATAATATAGACGCATTTAATTTTCCCATATTTCACTTTATGTTCATTTTCATAAACTTTCATCAAAATTAAAATCTCGAATAAAAACGGAAAAATGTTACTATTTTAGGAAGATACTCTTGAAAATCATCAGTGTAAAAAATCTTAATTAATTTACTTCTAAAATTATAATTATATAATAATAATTGAAAAAAAACATGTTAATTTTGTATTATAATTTGTATATATAAATATTATTTATATAAAAATAGTAATAAAATGACATTTACAATATATAATTAACATTTTTTTATATTAGCAGTCTTGGAACCACTGTGATTTTTACAAACATAATTGTCAAGCACTTTGGGTGTTTTTTTGACACATTCTTCATGTATTTTCCTGCTTTTGGAATGCACTGGTTCGAAAGATGTGCGATCGGTTATCGACATTCCAGGTTTATTTGTCCTCTTGTGCTTCACTTGGATCGGCTTACCTCTCAGTACAAAACCATTCATTTCGATGGCCTTCTCCACCGATTGTGACAAATCGAATTCAATGTATGCACAACCCTTAGGTTTTCTACTAATCGTGTTAACTGGAATGTAAATACGTTTTATTTTACCGCATTTAGAGAATATTTTTCCTAGTAACTGTGCGGTAGTCCCATAATCTACATTTCCAACAAACACAGTTCTACTATCTGCTTCAATCTTCTTTTTCAAATTCTCACCAATTTTTGTCAACAAGTTCTTTGTTAACAATTTCTTCATGTTCTCTAAACTTTTAATCTGTTCATCATTATTTTCACTTGAAACCTTAGATTTCCTCACAAGTTTTGTCGTGTTTTTGATAGTCAGCTTGTAAATATTTGTAGTATTAACTATATTACCTTTAGGTGAAAATGTATTATTTCTAATGACTTTGATCTTCTCTCCATTATTTCCATTTAAAACCATATTTTTCTCATTCTTATCGTGGCTTTTCTTCATGTATTTCAAAGTCAACTTAACGATCTTTTTGCCATTACCTGCATTACTTTTTAAAATATTTTTTCTATTATCCTTCTCGTCAATTGAAAATATATCTTTCAATTGTTGTTTTCCGTCCATCACCAGATGTATATTCAGGTTCCCAATAGTCAACTTTTTGAAGTTGGCCATCATTTCCTCAAACTGTAGATCCTCACTTTTATTATCATTTTTCAAAACAGTAATTTTGTTGTTGTTTTTTGTAGATACTTCAATTTCAGACATCGTGTTTAATATATAAAATTTTAATTAAAATTAAATTATAAATTCTAGAAAATCAAACCAACTTTTATTAATTTACAAATAATTCTTGAGATTGTTTTGAGATACTGAAGTGTTAAGACGGCGGTGCACCTTGAACATGGATATCATCACAATATTTTATAGTTAAGAGTAAAATTAATATACAGTATACCTGCATACAGCATAGTTGTAAGACAATCAATTCTTGGTGGGTAAATTCACTGCTGGTAGGCTCAACCGGAATGACAAATTCGGACTGCGAAGAGCACGTTCCATCCGAGCAAGGTGAAAAATGGAAGAGAGCGACAAAAACGAAACAAAAAATATACGCGGCAAAACGCTGCTATTTTGACTAAACTAATACATATTGGTAAGGAGAGTTGCAGCAAAAGTCCAGAATTTTTAAGAAATCTTGCAGAACTGGAAAAAAACAACAAATCCAAGAGATAATAAACTAAATATTAGTGAATAACCCTTATTTATTTCTAGCCAGTCTGCCGGACGGAAGAGTCCCAGCTTAAATACATACCATCTCCAAATTTAACACGAAAAACCATACCAAAAGTATTTCGATACCATCCATAATATCATAAATTGATAGCATACTAATCAAAGATAAAAGTATCCCTTGTCACTGGTACCAAATGAAAAGTGAACACTCATTTAAGATTGTACCTAATGGTCACACTATGAGAAATATAAGCAACATCAGAAGTAGGAAAGAATATCCTTTGAACAACCCATCAAAAGAAGGGAAATATTGCAGTGCGTTCCTTGTCAATGCTATGAACACACCTAGAACTACTGTTCTAAGAAGCCGCGTTACGTAAAATTCGGGCAAATGAATTTCATAGCTAATTGCCGGAGACACCGGAGATAGTAACTCAGAGCTGAGAGTGACTATATGAAGTTTGTTTCTATATTTAGCCTTTAAAGCAGCTACAGCAGAAAAATACATTTTTATAAAGATAAGTGGTGGAGAAAGGTACAGTGCAATTGATTTAATAAGAGAATAATTACAAGACAGTCCAGTCCAAAAAAATGTTGGGATTAGGGTGTTTTGGGTTACTTTCTTTTATATTTTTGTTTTATATTATCTAGGGAGAACAAAATTATTCAAGCAAAAAGTGGGCGCAATACGAAAAATTAAGAATCGCTAGACTAGGGTATCGTTTTAATTTAGTTTGAATTCACTAAATGCATAAAATAATTACAAAATTGTAAGCGTAATCATTTACATAAGATTTTCATGAAAAGTTGGATAGGACCCAACATACACCAGCCATGTATTTGCAAACATTAATAACGTACTTTGTCGGGGTTTCATTGTGGAAACACGTTAATATATATTTTTTATTAATATTACAATGTTGTCCGGGAGCACATCTGCTTTAATACAATTATTTCTATTTAATTATTTGTTTCGCGAAGCCGGAAGAAATGTAGTGTTCTCTCTTTTATTCTTTTTTTTTACCACGCTCAACTCGAGTGAATTTAGTATTTATTGTGAGTTAATTATAAATACTCCATTAACACAGAGCAGGAGGAGTTCAACACGAGAGAATCTAATTTGCGCAATTGTAGAAATAAATTCAGCTGCATATTGTAAGGAAGGTGTAGCATAGTGAGAGAAGGAATGGAGTAGACGATAATTATATTGAATCGGTTAATTTATATAAAGGTCGTGAGGTAATCCAAAAATAAATGAATAGATAACGTGTACACGGGTACAAATCTGCTGCCATATATCTTATACTACGTTTCAGGGTGGTCGTGGGTTTGGATTAGCCGCAAATTTGACCGAACTTATGAATTTTCCTCACTCTACTCAATTGCCGCCCCTCCGGAGGCAGACTCGTATTAATTATAATACATTTCTCTACTACCCTGTACACGTTCCAGGAGGGCGCTCCGAGAGAGCGGAATTCTGAGGGCGCCACTGAGCGTCGCGACGCTCTATCGGCACGGGTACCGACGCAGCTCAAATTGCAAAACATTAATATGAGTGGTATAAAGCGAACTCCTTCAATTACCTGAGACGTCACGATCATGGAATTATTAATGATCGAGTCGACTCGGCAGGAGGAAAAGCATGAGCGGAGCATCATCATCAGGACTAGGTCCTTTGCCCCAATGCTTCCATGAAGTCCTTACCCACCATCTCATCCTCCTCCTTCGCTCGTTCCCTTTTATCCTTAGAGCTATTCGTGAAATTGAGACGTCGCCGTTTCTATCCGTCCACGACGCAGCCACCCTGCATATCGCAGTTCATTATATTTAATGCCTTATTAATCTTTTCATATTTTCGCTAATTACGCCCGTTCGCATTTTATATCCAATCCTCCTTTATATTACCTTCTAATGAATTGCTATTATATAGCCATCTCAAGCATTATCCTTTATATACGCGTCTTATACGCTCAAGGCAATATTAATAAACTCTCATTGTTTGAGCTATCAATTAACACCTGTCAATATCTCAATCAAAAACTAGTAATCTTGGCTTTAAAAAATTGATAGAATAAAATTTAAATTTCTAGAAATCAGTTTTAGTTTTCATGATCATGATAATAATAATAAATTAAAAACATTGGCGTAAATAAATCTTAATAATCTACATTTAATTAATACTAATAAAAAAATATAATATTTACTATTAATCATTTTTTATTATTGAAAATTAGTTTTTCAATTCCTTAGTGCATAGTTTCCGAAACTTTCTTAATAGGTGTTCCGTTGAAACCTGAAATGAAATAATTACTGAATAAGTAATGAATGTTTTTTTTTTAAATTATATTGATTATGTGTTATTACCTGCCCTACAAAATAAACAATGTGTTCTGTGAAAATTTCAGGATTTACAAAGTGTTCCATTGCAGGAAAAGTTTGGTAAACCCTACCTTAGTGCATCGTTTTTATATATAGCAGTATATATTTTTTTTTATTATTATTAATGTGCTACAAAATTTAAAAACTTTGGGAACCCTTGTCCTATTTTTTTTTTTTGCTGAAAAGATTTTGAAGTAAAATATTTTTAAAATAATAAAGAAAGAACATTTTCTTTGTAAAAAAAAATGCACATATACAAGTTTTAAACGTATTTTATTTAGAGTAACCGAGGATGGATACATAAAGTGTTTGTCGTATGAATGCTGGCAGAAAATATACATAATTCAGCAGAGAACAGGACTTGTGTCCTGTCTGCGTCCCATATAATATCCGCAATTCCTCTGACGATTCTTCTTGTTCTCGAAGCTCGCTTCAATTTAAATATTCAATTGGGATTTATTTGTTAGCATAAGTCCCAAACCGGCCATCGCTTGGCAATTGCATTCATCTCCATAGAACGAATGCAACGGCGGTTTTCGATTATTTTACATGAATAAAATCCGGAAGATTCCTTAATACGCCTTCGGCGTCGGGCGTCGTCGCATAAATAATTCAAGCTACACTTCGACTCTTTGTTTTGCTACCAAAGTCTATATATATAGCATTACGCTCGAGTATTCACCACCTCTAATGCAACATTGGTTTATCGAATTTTTCATAAGCCTATAAACAGGTTTGCGACACAATGGGATTCATGCACACTTCAGAAAACTAATAATATTCCACAGTTCGTTTCTCCGTTGAGAATATTGAGAAGAAACGTTATTCGTGAATTTTCAGTTCGATTTTACATGGTCTAGTTTATTTCACGTCCTCTTTTCCTCAGCTGGTCTGCACGGACGGGTTAATTTATAAAGAAGAAAATTGATGTGGTTTTAGGAGGGAAGGAAGTGCGCCACTTTATAGTTGTAATTATACGAGGAACTTTTTAATGAGGATTAATGAAAACCCGCGACGGGGTTTTAAAATAAAATCGTTTTAAGTCTTTGTTGTTTCTTTCTTCTTTTTTATCTTGCATTCTTCTCTTTGTTTTTTTTTCTGTATAAAATTTCGCTTAAACGAAGGATGGAGTGGAGACTATCTGCTCTAAAGTTCTTCGGATCCACGCTGATTTGTAGCTTGCAAAGTTTATTATTCCTAAAGCTAGAGATTATACCTGTACTGCCTAAATTACCCTTATCTCGAATTCAAACTTCATAACACATACACACTCTGCCTTCCTCTCTAGCTACTAAATCTTTCCCAGTTATTATTAATCCCGTGATACCAATGTATCAATATTATTCCTTGTAAAGATATTAGAACTTCATAAGTTGCTTTCATCATGTAGTTATTACATAATCATATAAAATAGTTTCGATTATTCATTCTAAATAAATTATATTAATTAAAGTAATTTTAGATTAAATTGTACTTTTGGGTTATCAAACAAGTTATTCTACCAATTTATACTAAATTAGAGAAATAATATTACAGAAATAATTTTAAAATTTGCTTTTATTATGAAATTTTTATTTTGAACTATACAAAGATAAACCGAAATAAAAGTGACTTATAAATGTTTTACATAATTATTCCAATATGTATCACATTCATCTTGCATTTTTAAATTATTATTTGTGATATAATAGCTGTTGCATTGTAATTACATTAATAGTATAATGAAAGGAAAAAGTTTAATTTAATTAATACGTTCATTTTTTTTAGTTTATTTATTATCAGTCTAATATAAAATGTTTTATATTTATTTATTATTTAAAATATTTATTTTCCGCTAGTTTTATTTTATTGTTATGTACATTTCAAATGTTAAAATATATGCGGAAAGAACTATGATATGGTATTTTTTTATATGAATTTGTTCTATTTTGAAGCTTTGACAGTGAAATGAATGAGGTTCAGCATATGGACCTTCAACCAAGTCGATGGACAATGACAGTGTTAAGGATAGCAGCAGATTCACAATCAAAGGAAATAGTGGAATCGCAGAGCATCAATATACTACTAAAGTTTACCTACAAGACGACAGCCAACCAACAACAAAAACCTTTAACAAAAAAATAACCTTTAACTACTCGCGCACTGAAATTTATAAGAACTACTCGAGTGGTGTATTTTATACACTACATGTATTACAAAGTGCATAAATGATTGTACTACGACAAGAAAAACCTTTTTCAAGTTATCTAATGCATTTTTATTAGATACTTAACTATTTGTAATACATTTATAATAATTTCTGAATCAGAATTGTCATCATCTCGTCTGCTATTACACTAACACTGCAGAGCAAGAACGAACATACACAAAAACAACGTATTTGCATAGATTACGTAAAGTGTCATAAATGGGGGAAAGAAAATATAGACG